CTTGGTTTGTTTATAAGTCTCCACTGTGTGGAGAGAGCCTGTGTCCAGGCTGGAAGGAGGTCAGGGTTGGGGTTTGTTTAGGTGGCCTGTGGCCACTGGTGTGAATCAGGGCGCTGGGCATCTGCCAACAGGCTCACAGGCTTCAGGGAAGGGGCCTCCTGTCTCACTCCAGCTTAGAGACCCAGAGAGGGCCCGGATTTGCCCACAGTCCTGAGATGAGTTAAGGACAGACCAAGGATTAGGACGCAGTTTTGCAGACTCTCCACAGCCCCCATCCGGCCAGACGGAGGTCATTCTGGTTGTTTGCCAGTGCCCCCCAAGAAAGGAGGGGCGCAGGCAGAAGAGCGGGTGGATTACCAGAGGCTTCCAGTCACAAGTCAGGAGTGAGCCCTCCTCCAAGGCCTGGGGGCAGAGCGGTTGGTTGAGCTTCCGGAGGAGAAAGTTCAGGGGAGAGTTGCCGTCCCTCCGAATTTAGTCTCCTGCCTCAGTCTCATCCCCAGGGCCACCATGTTACACAGAGACTGTGAATGACGCCCCCTGGAGTTGTTCAGGGCCCTGCCTGTGGAGTCAAATGTGGTGCTTCTGTCTCCCACCTTCTTTCCTTCAATCAGCTTCAGATCCAGCTGGAAGGAGGTGTTCCAGGTGGGCTTGAATCCAACATTTCCTCCCCCACTCTGCCTGCCTCCTGTTCCTCTGTTGCCCACCCCCTCCCCACCAAGCCTGGCGCTGTGGACCACAAATTGTGGCGCAGGAGCCCCTCCCCCCTCTCCATTCAGTCTCTGTCTCTGGGGGGCTGATTTATCCTGCCCCGGCCATCAGGCCTGCTGCAGTGTGTGAGAAATCAGTAGTGCAAATGGATTGAGGTTGTTCAGCTGGTCCATTCCCCTTGGGCTCCCCCTGCCCCAATTCTCCTGGGACTCGGAGAGTTACTTAGTCCCCTTCCGGCTCCACATACAGTGATATACACACCTAGTGGCTGTAGCTAGAGCGCTGAGCGCAGGAATTACTCTTTCTGTCCATCGCTGGCTCTGTCCCTCTCATTCTCTCTCTTTTTCTCATATACTGGGCTGGCCTTAGCATGACAAATACCCTTGACCATTTATTTTCTGGCTTGGGTGGAGTGGGGGTGGAGGGGCTTAGGGAGCAGTAGGCTGCCAGCCAGAGGTGGGGGGAAGCAGGTGGGTAAGGGAGGCTGTGCCCAGGGAGGACTAGCTGGGGAGGGATTGGGTGACAGCCCACCCCATCAGGCTCTGGTAACCCAATCCCTGCACCCCACCCTCCCGATTCCCCTCCTGTTCAACAGCTTCAGCAGCTGCTGGCAGAAGCAGGGCTGGCAGAGTGTGTGTGAGTGCATGTGTGTGTGTTGGGGGTGGAGAGGGGCTGTGGGGGCAGGAGGTGCTGCCAGGACATGTTAAAGGAGCCGCACAGCCTGGGTACGACTTGGGTGGCAGGAGGAGGTGGGGCTGGTGGGAGAGTGGGTGGTGAATGATGGCAGGGGGCAGGCCGCAGGGGGGCAGGGCAGCCTAGGGGTCTCACAGAACTTGTCTGCACTAGAACAGTGCCTGGCAAGCTGGGGGTGGGCAGTAATGAGGGGACAGGGGCGGGTACAGCTGTGGCTTGCCCTAGGATGCCTGTTCTTCGCCAGGGGGCGCTTGTAACCATGGAGGACACAGCCTGCCCCTGTCCCCAATCCCTGGGCTGTGCCTGCTGGGCATCACAGTCTTGGTGACTAAGTCACTTCTGTCCTGGGGCTGGCAAGGTGCCAGACTCAGCTCTTCTCGGTAGGTGAGTCACTGCCCTGGCATCTCCCCCGGATGCAGCTGAGTCACCGGGCTGTGCCTGCTGGGCAGGTGGGCACCATGCTTGGGGTGGGGTTGGAGGGCCCATGTGTGTAGCCCCTTCCTCCCGGTGTCTTCTCTGATCTCTCTCTGGCTGTCCTGGCCCCACCCACAATCCTGAAGCTCTGGCAAGGGTGGTGTTTGCCCCATGTGCTCTGTTGAGGGGGTGAAGAAGGAAGCAGAGTGGTATTGAGTGGAAATGTTTGATTCGGAGTGAATCTTAGCTCTGCCGCTGGCAAGCTGTATGACCTCGGGCGAGGCAATTTCCTTTTTGTACCTCAGTCTCCTCTTCTGCACAATGGAAACGAGAGCTGTGCCCCAGATTACCCTTCAGCGTGAATCAGATGGAGTGGGGTGAGAGGGTGCTTGTGGGAGGAGCTCCCCTGGGGATGAGGGGGGTGGAGGGCAGCCTGGGAGGGAAAGAAGAGTCGGGGGCCAGGCTGGTTTCCCCCACCTGCATCCAGGTAGTGTCTTCTCACTCACTACCGGTGGTGCTCTTCTCTAGTAAGTAGGAGCTCCCCACTGGCTGTGAGAGGGAGGCCTTGTTTTGCTGGAATTGTGGGCCCTCCTGGGGGGGGGGTGGGCATCTCAGGGTTATTTTGTATCTACTTTGAGTGCTGGGAGGCTCTCTAGGTTTCCCTTTGGAGTGGGATCCCTGTCTTAGGAAAATAATGGCTCAGACTCCTTTCCCCAGCCCATTGCCTTCTGTGTACAGGCTGGGAAGGACAGGCCCCAAGAAGGAGTATCTTTCCTAAAGAGTGAGAGCTTACCTGTGCCCCACCCCCCAACACTCCCCCGACCCGGTGACTTGTCTCAGTCCGCTAGTCTCCTGCTGCCTCCTGCACTTTTCTCCCCTCCTCTGTGAGGGTCCCTGCAGGGTGGGGGTGGGGACCCTGCTGGAGGTCCAGCACAGCTGGAGTTCAGCTGCTGCAGCTTCAAGAGCCCTGGCCTCCCACCTGGGGACCTCTCCTGTTTCCTAGAGTGAAGCCTGGGTAGGGCTAGACCCTGGACAGGCAGTGCTGGGTGCCCTAGGCAGAGGGAAAGTGCCCCTAAGGCTTGTGGGCTGTGTGCTTATACATCTGGTGCCAGTCTTCTGTGCATGAGTGTCTGACCCCCTATGGGGAGTGGGTGTGTGGGTGCATGAATTTCTTCCTCCCATCTGCACATGGGCTACTGCTATGTCTGTTCAGCAGTGTGCCCCACAGCGCCTCATGACCTTGTGCGTGCGCAAATGCCTGTCTTCTATGTGCATGTTCTGTTTGACTCAAGGATGTGGATACATGTGTACTCTGAATATGCACGTGGGTGTGCATATATGGGGGTCCTCCGTGAATCTCAGTGTGCTCGAGTGTAGGTGACCCTATGTGCCGGCGCACGTGTTATGTGAAGGCCGCTCTTCTGGGAGGCAGTGTACCTGTGTTTATGCACATGTGCAATTTTGTGTCCATAGCCTTAGCTGGAAGGGATACTGGTAGAATCTGGGGCAGAAAGAGCCTGTGTGGGCTAGGGGTGGCTGGCGCAGAGCCCCCGCCCAAGCTGGTCTCACCACCGGCGACGCCCCCTGCTGCTGGTTAGGCTCGGGCTGGAAGGCATTGATGGGGGGGGGCCTGGGGGGGAAGGGGTTAAGCGTCGGCGTCCACATCTGGGAGCCATTGGCGCATTCCTGCCCGCTGAGCGCATGTTTGCGGATGGATCTGGACGGGACAGGGCGGGAGGGGCTGAGCGGGCGGTTCGCACCGGTGGACGGAAATCCAGACGAGAGCGCGAGAGCGGGAGACAGCCGGGCCTGGAGGGCGGGAAGGGGCCTGGGGAAGCGCTGCCCCGGCACCCTTTCCCTGTGCCGGACCTCAGAGCAGAGCAGGCTTGTCCTACTTTACCAAGGCTGGGGGGCTCAAGCTGGAGGGAGACAATCAGATACCTGAATTCTCCACCCAGCTGTGCAGCCGGTGTGATGGTGGACAGAACCCTGTGTCCGCTCCCGACCTCCTGTTCCTCGTCTGCAAAGCGGGGACTGTTGGGCCGGTGGCTTTGAGAGCTTTGCCAGCAGGGTCAGGCTGAGAGTCTCCTCACTGGGGGTGGAGGCCTGGGAGTATGACACTTCCCCTTCCAGTGGGAAGTCCTGTGGGGGCACTTGTGGCCACTTCTCTGACCAGGGAGTAGGGGTGGGGGGTTGTTCCTTAATGATTCTGCTTCCCCCCAGTAGGCTGCTGGAGGTGGGGACGTGGTCCTTCCAAACAGAGCAGGCTGGGAGGGCCCTTGTCTGTGCTGGGGACTGGGGGTCTCTGCAGATGGGAGAGTGATTCAGATCCTGCCCTGCTAGAGCAAGAAAGAGAGCTTTTCTGGCTCCTCCAGACTGGGCCAGGAGAGAGAAGGTGGAGTCTGAGAGTCTTCTAGCACTGAGGGGTGCTCCTGGGCGCCCCCTGGTCAGCTCTTGGAAGATCCAAAGGCCACTGCCCTTCTGGAGGAAGGGTACTTGGCAGCTAGAAGCTGAGGGGTTGGGTTGGGCTGGAGTTCCTCCGACCCGCTCGAATTGGAGAGGTGTTTGGAGGAAGAGGAGAGGAGTCATTATTCGAGGGAGGTGTACATACTCTTGCACTTCCGTTTTTTTGTTTTTTTTTTTGCAGATGAGAAAATTAAAATTCAAAGAAAGGAAGCGACTCAAGGTCGCACCGCTCTGAATTCCAATTGATCTTTGGAGAAGGATTATAACTATAGGAGTTAGGGGCTTGATATCTAGGGCTAGAGTCACTATATTCACCTGTATATTATGCTGTCTTCCTCGGTTGAGGTATAGGGCGTGTATGTGATTTGTGCCCCTGCGAATGTGGGTATGTGTAGTTGCGGGCAAGGGAGTGTGATACCACACACTGCTGTCTTTTCTCTACAGAGCCCCCTTTCCATTCTTTCCTCAGAACTTCTGCCCTCTCAGAATCGCTCCTTTTGGGGCAGAGGGAGGGAATTCTCCCAGATTCCCACGGTCCAGCCTTCAGCTAGGCGCGTCTCCTTTAAGACTCGCCCTTCCCTGGGTCGGTTAGGGAGGGGCGGGGGGGGCGTGATCCCGAGGGCCCGCCCCTGGCTGGTGATAGGTCGATGGGCGGGTGGAGGCGGGCCTGGGCGGGGGAGAGGGCCGCCCCTCCAGCTCTGTACCCTCCGCCCCCCTAGTCTGGGGCTCCGGGTAAAGTTTCAGCCTCCGCACGTGACTCGCCATGGCCGCTGCCTTCGCCCCGCGCCCCTGAGCCGCGGCCCCCCATACTGCTCCTCTCCCGGGATCTCGTACCCCTGACGCTTAGCAGCACCGAGGCGCAGGGTCAGGGCAGACGCCGAGCCCGCGGGCGCTCTGGACGGATTGCTTCCTCCCGCTGCGAGGTAACCTCTGCCCCGGGGATTTTGGAGAGCTCCCAGCTCCCGCGGGCACCGGGGCCCCTTGGCCTGCCCCTGATAGGAGCTGCAGGCGGGGACATGGTGCCGGGCGGGTTCAGACGGGAACCCGGGGTTTCCTGGGCTTCCTACCCCGCCGTCGCCGTGCCCCGGGTGGGGGAGCCCAGTCTGTGCGTCTCTCTGCGCCCGAGTGTTCGCGCGCAGCCGTGAGGCATCTGGGGCCGTCTGCCGCGCGTGTCCCTGGCGCCCGAGCTGTGGCAGAACCGCCGCTGGGAACTCCTACTCCCTCTCGCTTTTCTCTTCAAAAACAAACAAAACAAAAAGACTTTCAAACCTGTTTGGGGAGAGATCGGATGCCCAACGGACTAGCCCCCTCCTTTCCCTCCTGTTATCTGAGCTGCCCTGTGGTTTGGGGAGAATCAGCCCGGAGGCCCACCCCCACCGGAGCAGCCGGCTGGGGGGCGGGGCCCGCTCAGCTGGTGTCCCCCGTGGAGTGAGGGGAGCCGACCGAATTGGGTGAGCGAGGCAGTGCAGTCCCAGGAGGGAGGTCTCTGCGTCTAGTGCTACCATGGGGTTATGGGAGGTATTTGGGGTGAGGGGAGGACGGAACGGACTGGTTGTCTTTACTCTGCAGAGAGTGTCTGGGACCTGGTGCCACCCACGAGGAGGAGAAGCTGCTAGCCAGATGTGTGTGGAAGGGGGGGGTGCCAGAAAATCAGCTTGGCTGTGGCCCTTCTCTGGGCACTGCCCTATTGTCAAGTTGCTCAGTGGGAAGGGGGCAGGCCACCAGTGTGCTAGGCTGGGGATGGGGACCCAACTCCTATGGAAATCAGACAAGAAAAGCTTCATAGCCTTGAAGATATTTCTCTGCCTCTGTCCATCCTGTCTTGGATAGGATGCCCATGTGCTGGCATGGTTGGCGTACCCTCGGCACTCAGCTGGTGCCAGCTCCTTCTTCTACCAGATTGCTCTCTGCCTGTGGGCTGTGTGCACATGTGTATATGTATATGTTCTTAGAGGGCCTTTTTCCTGAGAACACTTCCCCACCCCCTGCTGCTCACACCCCCTCACTTTTGCTCCTGACCACCATCCCTCCTCCAGTTTCCTGGGTGGGAGATTTGGGATGTCGCTTGTCCCTTTCCCTGGCTGGAGTGGTCACAGGACAGGGTTGTTGTAGGGAAGTGGTTCAGTAAGGACACCAGGTCTTGCGACAAAGTGGGCTTGAGCCCCAAGCTCTCCTTCAGGGCCTTGTGCTTGATGGGGAGGCTGGGCTGGGGAAGCCCCAGATTGGAGCGGGGGTGGCTTGGCACCTTGGGGCTTCCCCCGTGGGGGGTGGCGATGAGTCTGGGGGAAGAACAAGAGAAAGAGTATTTGGAGCTGGAGGAATGGGGGTGGTGGTGGTCAGGGAGCTTGTGACTGTGAAGGATGTTAGTGCACGGGGAAGGGCTGGGACATCGGTTCTGTCTGGGAGTCTGGGCCATGTTGGTCCTGAGACAGCAGTCACTAGGGTCAGACTGGAGGAGGCCCTTGGGAGCTGAGGACCTTAGATTTGGACTTTGAGGGCGTGAGCGAATGTGTATGAAATGTCCCCACAGGAGTTTTCCCCACCAGACTGGTGAGGGCAGTGCAGATGGAATAGCAGTTCTGAAAAGACCCTGGGTTTGGAATGGCTTAATCCTGACCACCTCCTCCTATCACCCCTCAGTCTCCATCCTTGGTTTGACCCTGAATGCCCCTGCTACCATTCTGGGACACTTCTCTGGTCCACCTCCTACTCCTAACCATGTGGCAGCCTGGCAGGAAGCTAGCTGTGGGCAGCCCCATCCTGATCACCCCCGTGGCTCCCCCGCTGGGCACAGTCACCCACATGTGCCATGACGTGGTTCCTGCCACTCATCTAGTGTGGGGTAGAGGACACTGAGTGGCACTTCAAGTCTGTTTTGGGGGCATTGACCCAGACCCCGGTTAATTAGCTTCCCTTCCCTAAATCCTTTGGTCTTAGAAGCTGGCTCTGCCCTCTACGACCTTTCCCCCAAACCCACTTCTTGCTCCGACTTCTAGGTTCTTTAGTGGGGTAGTCCTCAGAACCATGTGACGTGAGGGTGCCGCCTGCTCCAAAAGAGAAACCTCAGTGCCCTGTTCCCTGTGCTTTGGGCAGCATGCGCTGGGCAGGGCAGGGCCCGACCTGGGCTGGGCTGAGGGGTGGATGTGTTTGGGCCTTTCTGGAGGTCTCTTTAGGAGTAGTGTCTGGGATCTAGGGTGATGGGAAAGGTAATCCTATCTCTGTGACGGATGAATGTGGTAATCTCCACTTGCCCAGTGTGTCCCACGCCCCTTTCTGGTGGCAATGGTTTTGGGGAGTGTGGGAAGCTGGCAAGGCCCCTGGCAAGATGACCAGGGTTGTCTTGACTTACTGGGTTTTGGGAACGGCATGCATGTGGCAACTGATACCCCGGCTCCCAGGGCTTTGGCTGCACATCCTCTCTGATGCCTGCTGTCTTTCTTCTTCCGTTCCCCTCTCCACCCTCTGGCTGCTGTCTAGAGCCCACACGGTTTGTAGGGGGGTGGAGGGTGGGGGCGAGGGCCTGGATCTCCGTGTGTGTCCAGGGAGTGTTCTGGGGATTGGCAGGATTGGCTGAGAGTGTCTGGGTGTCCGTGCAGGGTGGGTGGTGTGCAGGGACCAGGCCCAGAGTGTGAGAATGTGTCAGCGTCGGTGTGTCTGTCCCCCGTCTGGCTTGGGTGTGGGTGTCTCTTGCTTGTCTGGATCTTGCCTCCCGCTCCAGTCCCCGCCTCCAGCCCCCCCCACCCCCCAGCTGGGACCGCCTGCTTGCTCTCCCTCTCTCTCCGCAACTGGAGCCTCCCTTGCCTGTTCCTGGAATTTGGAGAGGAGGAGGAGGAAGAGGCAGGCAGACAGACCTCCCACACTCTAGCCCGCCCGCCTGGCATCATGGGGAAATGAAATAGGTGCTATGGAACTAAGGTTTCCCTGCCTTCTAGATCCTCCAACACACGTCACAGAGTCCAGGGAGCCGCCTTTTACAGAAGGGCCTTGGGCTGCCCCCTACCTGCCTGGCAGTGATGCCCCCTTCTTCTACCCAGCATTCCGCCTGCCTGGCCCCTGCCGGGACCTCCAGGCACCACTGTCAGCCCTGGGAGTGGGTGGGGGATTAGACTGCTGCCAGCCTGGCCAGCACCTGTTGCCAACCCCCAGCCCTGTAACTGGAGCCGGCCATGAAGGGGGCTACAAAATGACAGGTGGAATTTCTGCAACCAGGCACCCCCCCACCCCACTGGATATGTCTTTCCCTTCCGGCCGGAACGAGGAAAGCCTGCCCACCCCCCCACCGCAAGTGTCAACCTGATCTCATGGATGATGTCCCAATCCTGCCTGTGGGGGCAGGGCCTGGGAGATGGGCAAAGGAATGAGTTTATTGCTGTTTGCCCGGTGACCCCCCATCCCCTTCACCAGCTGCAGAGCTGGCCTGCCCTTGTTTAAGTTAACTGAGCTCTGCTGCTCAGGGAGGGCTGGGGGGCATGGAGGTTGTGGATGGGGGGTGGTTCTCTGTTAATGTTTTAATTGCATAAAAACTGGGAGCTCAGCTCCCGACCAGTGGGGAGTCTGGGTCTGGCTGGCCGCCCGGTTTGGGCTAAATATAGTCTGGGACATCTGCAGAGAAGGGGAGGGGGGTGGAGGGAGGTTCCATTCCTCCCACCTTCCACCAAGGTGCCCTCGTCTGGGCGGGCACCTTGGAGCAGGGAGGGGGATTCCTGAGCACAAAAGGCAGGGGAGAGGCGGCGGGGGCTGGGTACAGTTGGGATCTCGCTTGTCTGGGGCCAGTAGCTGCCTGAGATGAACCCAGAGGCTCAGGACAGGGCTGGAGTGGGGTGTGCGGGCTGGATCCAGTGGCTCTGCTCCCCTCCCCCCAGAGCTGCCTGAGGTCAGGCAGTCTCCGTGTGTCACTGCGACCCGCCCGCTGCCGTGTGTCACCGTGACCCACTCTCTGTGTGCCTGTGTGTACACACCTACCTAGGAGTGGCTCCCTCCCGGTCCCTCCCCCGGAGCCTCTGTCCCCTGGGTCCTACCGCAGATCCCCAGCCCTCCTTCCTTCTGTCCCTCGGCCCACGGTGAAACCTCCAGCCCAGGAATCGAGACTTGAGAAGGGGAAGCTGCGGTGGGGAGTTCTCTGATCTCTAGTCACGGCAGGAAGTAGAGGGGAGGGGGAGCAAGGGGGAGAACCGTGAGTGGCAGGCCCGGAGGGAGGGGCCATGCAACCTACCTCACACACTGCCGTAGGGGGTGGCCACCCTCCCAGCTGGCCCCCTTCCCTCCAGCTCCAAGTGGGGGAAACTTAGGGGACAGCTGATTCTCCAGGGGCTGCTAATAATCTTTATCACCCCCCCACACACACTGGGAAAAAAAAGTCTTCCTGTCACGTGGCTGTCACTTCCTGTCCCACTGTGGTTCCAGGGATGTTTGTTGTTGGTTGCCACGGAGATAGCCGCCCGTGGGCACTACCCTGGTTCTTGTGGGGAGGGAGCTGCCCTCCCCCCAGGGCCACAGTTGGGGAGAGACTTGGGGGGGGCCCTGGCTTGGGGGCTATTTCAGGCTGAGTGTGTGTGGTCTCTGATGCCCCAGATCCTCCTGGGCGCCCCCCAGACTTCTGTCTGTGGGAAGGAGTCCTAGCCACCTACTCAGACCCAGTGTTGGGGAGACTGTGACTGTGGCTGACTGTGTGAGCCTGTCCCCTCCAGCCTAGGTCGCGCTGCCTCAAAGGTGCATCACAGGTTCGTGGAGGCTCTGCTCCCTATCTCCTTTTACCTTTGGAACCTTCTCCCATTTTGTGTTCTCATGGAAATTACTTTCCCCAGGGAGCTTCTGTGATTTCTTGGGGTACAGGCTGGAGTGGGAGGAGGCGCTGGGCAGGTTGTGTGCATGTTTCGGGGTGGAGGGTGGGGATACAGCCTGTACCAGCTTCTGTCTGAGCCTG